GTTGACGATCTTGTGGCCCCCCCCCCCCCCCCCCCCCCCTTTAGGCAGGATGACAAATGTGGTGAAGTGACCCCAGCGTGGTGACTGTCTAATATCTTTTATTAGACCAACTTAGCAGTTGGCAAGAACACCTACACGCACCTGCCTCCCACAGGCCAACCCGCTGCTCCCAGGCACCTGCGAGAGCAGAGGGGGAGACAGCCCGCCCCACCTGCCAGGCGTCTCATGGACCGGCAAGCTGCAAATGCCTGTGCACAGGGCTGCACCTGTTCAGTTCAAATCAAATGACATTTGAGCATTGATCTGAGCAGTAGCCATGTCAATCTGAGCACAAAAGGCAGGTGAAGTCTTCAGGTAGAGGCGATATCTTTTATTAGACCAACTAAATCGTTGCAAAAATGTTATTTGCAAGCTTTTTGGCAACTGTTTAGTTGGTCTAATAGAAGATATCACCTCTACCCAAAGACTTTGCCTGCCATCTGAGCACTGAGACCCCAATCGGGACAGTGCTTCTGCTGGCAGGCTTTTAAAATTCATTCTAGTTGTAGAGGTGTTACTGTTTCTAACTAAATTTCTCATTTTTAGTACATGGATTGTCACTGGATTTGGCAATATTTATCACCCTGAGTGAACTTTCAAAGCATACTCATTGTGTATTGGTTGAACTCAGATATACACGGCTAGTCTACTCTTAAAATTTGTGTTTGCCACTAGAATCGTCTAGCAAATCCCCCTAGTGGAGACACTTTATAGCATAGAGCTTTTTCAAAAATTAATTAACTAAGCTATACAAAAGGATTTTTTTCCTTTAGAAAAGGAGGGGAAAAAAGGTCACACCTATAATTAGTATAGTTCTGCAGGTGAAACTTTTAAATGTAGACCAGATTTTAAATTTAAACATCTATTTTGCATGGCATCATATCAACTTCCAAATCTTTGTGCCACGGTCTGGTGTGATTGCTTAATGTGTGGACTCCATCTGCCCTGTCTGGGCTTTTGTAAAGATTGCAGCTTTCAAATAAGTGCTGTGTCATTTGTCGGACACCACATTCACGCAGGGGGCATCCAGAACGCTTATCTTGTAAAGTGTTCTGGATGAACACTTTACAAGATAAGGCAAGGTGAACAGCCTGATCTGTATCCAGATCAGGCTGTTCACCTTGCCCCACAATTCTCTGTCAAGGTCGTGCCCAATAGGGGACGTACTTGGTGTTGATATAAACTGCTGTAGGAATAGGTGTGATCTTTCGCAGCCGTCATCCCATTCCGTTACTGCCTATAGGTTAGGTTCAGCATCCCCAATCTCTTCAGGGAGCTTATGGGTTTCATGTGTAAACAGTTAATGATTTAAACATAAACTAAGCTAAATCCAATAGAAGAGTATCCACACACAGAATTACACCATTTTAACAAAATCAGTTTAAAATCACATTTTAAGGTAAACTGGTGCCATGTAGTGTGTAAAGCAGGCCAAAGGCCAACTGTGAGGCAGAGAAATTGTACCTCTCACCCAAACAAGACAAGACCTGATTAGTGCAGAGGGTATAGTTCAGTGTTAAAATGTTTTGTTATAGATCAATAGATGCTTAGTTCAAGTCTACACATCCCTTCTTCTATTTGATAAAGAAAATAGTGAACTGACGTATTTGATCTTATCCATACCTAACACTGGATTCTCCTGTAACATGGACATACTTGGAAATCAGTGGAATTATAGCCATGTCAGCAAAGATGAACTAATTAATTTGTCATTTCACAGTTGCCAAAACTGAGAGAAAGAAGTGGCTTCTCTCTGTCTCTATCCAGTTCTGCTTTTGTTTATAAGTGACCAGCTTTGCTGTCCTGGGCACTTGGAAGATGCAGAGGCCAGTGAAGGAGACAAAAGAGGCGCACAGCTTTTTCAAGGGTTAGCATTGCAATTGACTTACCTTTATTCTGAGGTGGAAACCCCTCCAGGAAGTTCTGTGCACTTAAAACTGTAAAGAAGCTGATGTTATCATTACAGATTTATTAGGTTTCCTCTAAGAATGTGTCTCACATTCCTAGAGTTGTTGAAGTGCCATACAACTGGGTGTGGCCTCGTGCTTGCAAGAGTCAGAGCAAATTCATCTCGAGTCACTGGAACCAACCTAATAAAAAGTATTTATCACTAGCTATCTTGCATTACAGTGAGCTGATATTGCGTAAGAAAGGAATGTGATGAACAATTTGGTTTCAGATAAAGGTAAGGGGAGGGGAAGCTGCCTGTGCCAGGCATAGTGCAGAACTGCAGGGCTATTTTAGTTCCAAGTTTGATAAACATGTGATTAAGAGTTCAGCTATTCACTGCCCCTCAAAGAAAATAATGTTCTGTGTCCACCAGCCTGTTCAGAACTCAAAGGGGAGCTGGGTATTTTTGTTTAAGGTTTCTTAATTATTTTGTGGTAATTGACAGCCTCCCACCCTCATTGCATCATTAAGAGCAGAACCCCCACACAGCTTGTATTCCCTATGACAAGTCTTTTTTCCATCTGATTCATTCCTGTTTTTTTAAATGGAGTGGTATTCCATCTATCTTGCCCAGTACCCGAAAGGTTTCCTCAGGGGATAAAATTCAGACTGAAGGAGAAAGCAGAAGGTTTGCATTAATATTTAATTCATTCTTATTTTTAAATTTGGCTCAAACTCCCAGGACTACCGTACGAAAAGTAAGCAAAAGGATCTGTAACTCCATAGTTGTTTGGACGCTTCCAAGAGAAGGGGGAAACCTGGATTCTGGTCCCTGCTGTTAACAATGTCTTCTATCTAGTAGTGCTTTAATGCAAAATACATAAGTAGGCCCTGGAACAAGGATGAGAACCCAGGTGTCTCACCCCGCCTTTCTTCCCTCATTCAAAACAGTGCCTTTGTCACTGAGCTAGGGAGTCATGCTAGCTTTTACTCATTCTCTCTGGCTCTGTGAATCTTGCAGTTCTTATAGCTTCATCAGGAGTCATGCGAGTTTCCCTTTCCCAGATGATTTTAGTAAACCATTAGTATAGAGCACTCTTCTGGGAGGAAGATATATAGGGTTCTGACCCCCCCTCAAGCTGAGGAGGGCCTAGAACCAATGTCTTCCATTTCCGGAGTAAGCGCTCTAGCTACTTGGCTGTTATATAAGTGGTGGGTGCTAGCACCACCACTTGATTTTGAATGGAAGTGGCTGTAGATGGTAAATCTGTGCATGGATTAGGTAGATCTTGGATTGACCATGTAGATATTAATGGAAGTTCTGTCCACTTTTGGTAAGTGAAGAAAAATATCAGTGACAGTTTAATGGAAAAGAGAAAGATGGTTGTAGGAATGTGATAACAGATTGTCATGCTTTCTTTCCCTGAAAAAGGATCTGAAGTTTGCAAAACTTTACAACATTTAACACTCATAATAAGAATCAGTACTTTAGCCTCCTTCATACTGGTGCTTCCCTTTTATAAACATGCAGTCATTTTCCAATCTAAAAAGGAAAAAGTAAAGAAAACAATTGATGAAACAGGTTTCAGTTGAAATGTCCAGTTATGAAAACATAATTCTTTATGGAAATGCATCAGTTTCAATTAACTGCCAATGAAACCTGACTTGGTGGGCCACAGATAAGTTCAGGCTGCCAGGATCCATGCCTCAAGCATATCCCTCTTGTACAGACTTAACTTGGGGAGCCAGGACCCTGGAACTGCAGGGGTCTATGGCTCAGAGGCAGCTCTGCTGTGCAGACTGACTTGAAAATGAGAATGTGTGGCTTCCAAGGAGATAGCTGTTCCATGTGGACTACCTTGAAGGTGGGGACTGCAGACCTTCCAAGCTCCCTATTATAGAATGGGAGTTTTAGCAGCCATGAAAGTCTTGGAGGATCCAGCTCTAGCTTGTGATCTCATGATCCAGGCTCCTTCCTGTGTCTTGGAACTTGGAAGCTCTGAGGCAAACCTTTGCCCATGGTTCCATAGCTCAGCCTAGGGCCTGGGAGTTTAGGTTATTGGGCTCAGTTTTGTTTTTAAAAAATGAAAATGAAACATTTCAGTTATTTCAAAAGATGTTTTCCCCTTTTGCAGACAGTTTCAGGATTTCTGTTTGTCATGTTTAAATGGAATTCTAACTGTCTACCAGCTCTAATAACAGGGCTTAAGGAACAGATGTGTTGCAGGTGTGTATGTGAGTATTTGTCTTGGTTTAGCAGGGGCTTCTACTGGCTTGAAAACAGGAGTTTCCATTATAGAGTTGTGCTTGTTTTGAAGACACTTTAATTGTGAAGCAGAAATGGGCCAATGGTGCACACTTACTGATTGGTACGGTTGTGTGTTGCAACTAAAGTAATCCAGTGTAGCTATTTAAAATGCACCTCCACCCCTGCACATTAACCTAGGATTTCCCCATTGCCACTTAACAAAGCTGGATTTTTTTAAAGCAAAATAATTAAATGCAGCAGTCATGTTAATTGCAGCTCACTTCTTACACCTCTCTTTGCAGCTGAATGATTTATAGGTTTTTTTTTCTAAATTGACTTGAGCCAAACAGCGCTGGGGTTGGGTCTGTAGAAGAACTCTTAACCCTTTTAAAATTAAAAGTACCTTACAAATGTACATTAATGCTCCCAGGTGGGTGAATACTATTTACCTGATTTTGTACCCTGAGAAATGGGAACCAAGAAGAAGAATTTTCTCTAAACATTTTCCACTGATGCAGCACAAGTAGTAGGCATGCTAGCAGAGACTGATCGGTTCTCAGAACTTCAGCTTGGTCTCCTTTTCAAAGATAATTTAGTCTGAAAGCTCCATTTAGCCATTTAATTCTTTGGGGAACTTTGTTTTCATGCCTGTCTGGAAAGCACCTTGCAAACTATTACCACAATATATAAAATAATAATAACTATGAGAAGTGCATATATTGCCTATTCTAAAGTAAAGATCAGTATTAACCCAAAGGAAAGTATGCTATCTACTAAATAACCAACATTTTGTGAACAATAAGGCTTTGTCTGCATGGTGTATTATATCAGAGTAACTGTAGTTAGCTCATTTTAAGGTGCCTTGTGCTCCAGGCACAACCAAATTATTTGATTTCATAAGTTGCTATAAATAATCCTCCTTAGCACAAACGTCACAGCGAGTTTGCTTTAAAATTTGTGTGGATCCATTCCTAACTACTCTACTTCTAAGAGTCCTCCAGCTGCTATCCCACACTGCATTGCTGCACATCTGGATCTGTCTGTGTGCCGTCCACTGCCTCACGATTTTCTTGATCAAATACCATTTCTTTTTCATGTTGGGCGGCACCTGGAGTGCACCATTTTGACACCCATTACTCCTGAGGTGTAATTAGTAGTTATAATGGGTAGTTATAATTATAATTAGTATACCCAGTATAGCAGCCATGTGCTCTGTCGCAGGCTTTCACGTGTATCTTTTCTAGAAGTCCTTGTTTTGACTGCCTGCTTTGGGAAGCTGCATCTTGAGTTCTTTCTGAACACCATCACAGCCAATGGTGGTGAAAGGTCACTCCTAGACTTGTTTCAGGTACCGAGTCTAAGTAAAGGACATACAGTGGAAAGACAAGAAATTCAAACAGGACCTCTTATAATGTTCACACTGTCTGCCTCCTGAGAGAAACTGGATCCATTTTTGCAGGTGATGCTACCACCAAAGTCTGACTGGGTTTAATAGTTTTCCATAGAGAAACCTAGAAACACAGCAACTTCCCAAGACTGCAGCTGCAAATCACTGCAGGGCTATCACTCAAAAAACTCAGTTACATCTCCCTTGACACCATACATGTGATGGGGTTTTGGGAGATACAGAAATTATATATAGATTCAAGGCTCCAGCATTCAGTTCAGAAGGAAGTACAGTATTATGACTTATCATGTCAATGATCAGCAAATAATAGAGGTTTCACACTTTTCCACTGACATTTTATGGCTTCTAGGAAACATTAATATATATATTAAGAAAAATAATAGCTTTGTTACATTTCCATGAAATTGAAGAAGCAAGGAATTTCAAATGTTGTTGGTGAAGGATTATATTTTGGGGGCTTGTCAAGTTAACCTTAAAAGGATCCTGCCAAGGTTTTTTTTCAAGTTAGCATGAAAAGGACATTTTCATAGTTGATAGACCCACAGTTTAACCTTCCTTAAAACCACAGCTGATGGCAGATAAATCTGCCTGCCTGTCAGAACAAAAGTTACAGCACTGTTAATGTCTGCTCCTTTGCTAGGTGACACACCAACAAACCCAGGGTGTATACTGACA